GAGTTTTTACAGTAAAAACAGACCCTTGTTCATTTCTTTGGGTTCCAAACAGAACCGGAACCAGATGGATCCATCATGCATTAAAATAACCGTCTTGGACCAGAACCGGCGTCATCCAACGAACTGAACCGGTTTTTATCCGGATCTGTGGGCGAGCTGCCCGCTCCATTCGGGAGCCATGTTCGGTGGTTCTGGTGGTCCCGGTGGTCCCGGTGGCCACCGACCGACTCAGACCCACCGTGAGCGGAGCAGCGGGGACACGGACCGTCTGTCCCGGGTCGGGTCCAGTTCGGTTCTCCCGCCCCCACCTCTCAGCTGCCGGGTCCGCGGCTGCAAAGTTTGGCGTCAGAATTCGGTTCCGATTCGGTCGCCGCTCCGAGCCGCGGCCACCATTTTTATTTAATCACAGGAAATGACGAGGAAAGAGCTGCGGGTCCGGTCCGGTCCGGTCCAAGAGCCTGATGAGGAGGAGCACTCAGACCCGGTGGTTCCGACCCGCTCCTGTAGCGAGAGGAACTCTGCAGAACCACAGGATACCAGGTCCAGATCTGAACCAGGTCCAGTTCAAAACCCAGTCCCATCTGAACCAGGTCCAGNCTGAACCAGGTCCAGTTCAAAACCCAGTCCCATCTGAACCAGGTCCAGATCAACAGTCAGAACTGGACTTTTACCCCAAAGATGGTTCAGATGATCCAGTTCAGGTTGGACCAGTTGTCTGGGTTCTGATCTGAACCTGGTTTATTAAAGTCCCAGCCCAGTCCAGAACCCCTGATCCAGACTCTGTCCCAGTGGTTCTGGTCTTCAGTTCTCTGGACTTTCTGAAGTGCCTTCAGGTTTTCTTTAGAGCTTCGGTTCTTGGACCTGACCCGGTTCAGAACGGATCCAACCTGAATGAACAGAATCTTAAAAGAACCAGAACCAGAACCAGAGATCCATCATGAGTTCTTTATTTGTTGACCTGAACAAACAGAACCTGTTTGACCCAAAACAAAAACAAATGTTTACAAGAACCAACCCAGAGGTTCTGCTGGGTTCCTGGATCTAATGAAACTGGTCCGGGCCAGAACTTGTACCAGAAACAGATCGCTCCAAAATAAAACCTAAAGTTCGGTTCTGGAAAACCCGAGGCAGCTTGGATCAGAACCGGGCCCAGAACTGAGGCCGGCTCAGACAGCAGACCCGGACCGGGCCTGGTACTGCTGCAGGTTCCTCAGGTGGTACTGCCGGCTGCTGTGGGTCGTCAGGCTGAACTTCAGGAACCGGTTGGACCCTTTGATCAGACTGTGGTTCCGGTGGATGCCCTCGGCGTGGACCCGACACACGTGGCACCACATGAGGTTCTGGGTCGGGGAGTACCGCAGGAATGGGAATGTCTTCAACCAGCTGGGCTGGAACTGGGTCGGGCGGGACCGGGTCGACGTCGAGGTCTTGTCGGACGAGTCCGGGCTGAGGGGGGCCAGCTCGAGGTCCAGAACCTCGTAGTCGTCGTCGACCCGAACCTCGCCGGGCGACAGGTGATCCGTCGCTGTCGGGACAGAACACGGGTCCATCAGAACCGGGACACGTCTGCGATGACGTTTCTCAGAAAACTGCGACTCACATGTCTGCTCCTCTTCAGAACTCTGCTGGTTCTGGTCCTGGCCCGGATGGATACGAGCCTCCACAGCTTCTCGGTCCTGTTTGCTGGCGACCCGGAACAAGTGCTGCTCCAGGTCCTGGATCCTCCTCAGCAGCAGGGAACAGTTCTGACAGGACCCGGACTCTTTCCGGGTCGGCGGGAGCTCGAAGTTCAGCTCCACTTCGTACTCGCTGTTGGACCGGGCCTGGGCCCGGGCCTGGATGGAGGCCTCCAAAGACGACTCCAGAGCGGTCCTGAAAAAGTCCTGGAACACCAGCGGAGGTCAGTTAAAGCCCAGAGGAAGGTGGCCCGGTTCTGACCCAAATCAAAGATCAATAAGGCGTACTCTGAGGCTGGTGTCAGCGGGTCGCTCCTGTGGTTCTCCTCGGTTCTGCTGAGTCATGATGGGTTTTTCCTGAAGCAGACTCAGCAGAGCAGATCTTACTTCTCTCCAAGGAGGCGGAGCTGGTCTCCCGGGTCTGGAACCAGAATCTGGACCTGAACAAAGAAACATTTATTCAGAAACTTCAGGTCCGATCACCTGAGAGCTCCAGAACTCACCGTGTTCTGCTCCTCTCCTCTTCCTGTTGGCTTCAGCGTGCTGACCCAGGTGTAGAGACGGAACCCAGTCCGGATCCGAGTCCAGCATCTCGAAAGCTGGTCTTCCTGTAAAGACCCAAGTCCAACACAAGTGCTTGTTACGAGTCATGAACGCTGATAAACTTCACCTTTCAACTGAGATTTATTTATTCATTTCATTAAAAATAACATAAATATAAAATACAAAATAAAAATACAAAAATAAAAATAAAACACAAAAAACTAATAAAATGAAATAAAAAGCAGCAGAAAGAAGAAAAAATCTTATATCTGTGTTTTTCCTCCATCAAATAAATTTATTAATAATAATTTTTACACAACAAAACAAAAAAAGTAAAATTAAAAGAAACCATCAATCTTTTCTTGAACTAATAATCCGGTCTAAGCAGGTCTTTTTTTACAGTTTTTGTTGGAAAAGGAGCAGGTAAAACAAACAACATCTTTGATTTCCTGTCTTCTCACCACAAAATGTTTAAATGTTCTCACAGCAGATAAACATTAATTATTCCCACATTCAATGAGCGTTAAATCTCTCATCCTTATTTATACATTTCTAATATAAATAATATTGAGACACACATCCTACACAACATATTTCCCAGTGAGCTCCTTTTTAAACGTTTTTTAAAGCTGGTTTAATTTTGTAATTTTTTTGAGCTCATCATTTAATCCTGTCCATAAATCTACCCCACACACACTGATAAACAAACTATTTTTGGTTGTTCTAATACATTGTTTTTTTAATTTTCCTTTTCCTCTTAAATTACAACCCCTCTCTCTGTCACAAAACATTTTTTGTATATTGTGTGGAAGTTGATGATTTCTTACTTTAAACATCAGTTGTACAGTTTTAAATTTTACAAGGTCCCAGAATTTCAATACATTTGATATAAAAAATAATGTGTTTTTATGTTCCCAGTATCCCACATTATACAGTATTCAAATATTTTTTTTGTATTATGTACAACGGCAGTAAATTTGTTTTGTATGTATTACCCCAAACTTGCACACAATATGTCAAATGTGGCACAATGAGTGTGTTATACAAAATAAACAATGATTTGTATCCAAAACTGATCTGATTCCCCTGAAGACACTTTTGGCTAGTTTTGATTTTACTTGGCAAATCTGTGGTTTCCAGCTAATTTATCATCCAAAATAAAACCCAGAAACTTGATCTCTTATAATAAAATGTTAAATAAACAAATATATAAACTCTGACAGCTCTGATGAGTTAAAATGCGATTATCGACCTGTGTTTTGAGTTTTAATAAGAAGAATTGTGGACTAGCACTGACCAAGATGGCGGCCGGCCTGAAGGCCACCAGCGGTCAGGGCGGAAGCTGCGCGGAGAGCGACGCGGAACTTCACGTCTTTTTTAAAAACGGTTTTATTTTCACTCTGCAGCCAGTTCTTCACTCGTGAAGAAAGTTTCTCCGGGACAGTTCGGACTCACCGGTGTGGAAATGGCGGGAGCAGACCCTCATGGAGGACGGGATGTGGGCGAACGTGATGTCGCTGCGGGCGACAGCAGCCACCCAGGCGGCCCTCCTCCGCCTCGTCAGCTCCGACACGGAGCCGCCTTCCCTCGTCCTCCAGGCGGGGAAACAGTGGAAGGTCAGTCCGTTCTGGAGCTTCCTGCCATGGGCATCGTGATAGGTGCTCCTGCAGTTCTTCACGCAGCATTCTCTGTCCGCCATCACCCTGGAGCAGACCGGAAGTTCTTCTTCTTCTTCTTGTGTGTTGATTTATGGCGGTTGGCAAACAACGGAAGGTGTGCCATACCGCCACCTACTGATATGGAGTATGGATCAAAATACTTTTATTTGTTGCTTATATTCTATTTTCTAATTTTGTTTTTCTAAAAAAAAATTTAAAACAATTTATATACTTTTACTTCTGGTTTCTTTTTGTAATACATTTATTATATTAAATGTTTCTTTCATTTTTCTTAATTCTTCTTTCATCCATCTTCTGTGTTGTTCGTATTCCCTGCAGACTAAAATGTCATGCTCTATAGTTTCTTCTTGCCCACAGTGCTCACATTGACCTGTATCATTTTGTATTTTGTATTGTTCAGTGCCGTGTGTCCAAATCTAAGTCTGTTTATTCATCTTTCTTCTTTTCTGTTCCTTCCTCCTGTTCTCATTTCTCCCACTTGTCTTTGAATCCTATAAAACCACCTTGCTTTGTTATCTTCTTCCCATTGTTTTTGCCATTGCTCCTTTTTTTTATTTGAAACAGCACACAACAATCAACAATCGTGATCAAACGATCATGAACAAACAAACATGGTCTAGAGTCATAAACACAGTACATTATTACATTTTAAGGGAGCAAAATAAAAAAAAATGTGTCAAGGGGACATGCAATTTTACCTTAGAATATGGTAAACATTGTTCATTAAGGAAAATAAATTCTGAGC